TCTGATTTTTACACACAATCCAATAAAAATCAGCCACGTGTACCTGTAGACCCGATTCATTAGTGTCTTCCTACAGACCCGTTTCATCTATAATTCACATAACTAAATGATTTTTTAATCATTTTTACTTTAAGACACCTTTAAAATATCTGCGATAATGATGCTCTTAATAACGTTTGACTATATAGGGTCAATCGCATGTTGACATGGCATGCTGAGTCAGCACCGTCGGAGACCGTCCAACGGAGAGCATTATTTATTATATCTACAAAAATGCGCAGAAAGCGAAACTCCGGATTAGTCGTCTCGTATTGTTGTTTCCGAGAATGTTATTTTACTTGTTGCGTGCTAATGTTATGGTTCGTAAGCAGATTTTAAGGAGTAAGTAAGGGATTTCGAGGGAGAGGAAGAGGTACATTATCATGGTTCCCTAAAAACAGTTCCGGGTTTCGCAAATATGAACACAGTCCAGTGCAATCGTGGGTTGAGAAGCCATTACAAGTTTCCAATGTGTGGAAAAGAGATCTCAAAAGGATGGAATAGGTACCTGATGAAGTTGCTGCTGCTGCTTTGAATTTTAGGCTCATCACTGTTTTAGACTCACTAGAAAACATATTGATCGGTATGTTGAGTACAACACAAAATGATCAAAGATTGAGTAAAGAATGAATGCATTCTCTCATGTTTTGTGGCTTCTGGTTGGCTATATGAATAGACCAGATCTGTCTTTTTTTTTGGATCAGAGCATCGAATGAAGTCTCTCATCCTTAGTCTTAACATGGCTTCTGGTTATGTCATTAATGGTGGGACAACCTGAAAGTGCCATTGTAATCTCAAACTCGTCCTTTAACATCTCAATAACTTTTCTCACTCCATTTTCACCATTAGCTGCAAGTCCATAGACTATAGGCCTTCCTACCTGCATAATCCAACCAGATGGTGTCATTACATCAACAGAGAGCAACCTGAAACAATGTATGCCAAATCCTAATATTCAAATCTTACAAGAACAGCTTGTGCTCCGAGTGCCAGCGCCTTGAAAACATCGGTTCCTCGTCTTACTCCTCCATTAAACAAAACCGGAATCCTCCCTCCAACAACATGAACAATCTGCAGTTTCAGAATAAGACCAGTTTGTCCATTAAGGCCAGTTTGTTACAAATCAAGCTTTGATGAGTTTACCTCTTCTAAAACAGTTATCGTAGCTGGGGAATAGTTAAGCTGGCGAGCCCCGTGGTTGGATACTACTATTCCCTCTACACCGGCTTCAACAGCTTTAAGAGCTGCCAATATAATCAAAAAGGGTCTTTCATATGCCTTGGAGTTTTTTTGATTCATGCTATATATTTATCAGAGTATGAGACAAGAAATCTTACCGTCTTCACGGGTGAGTATCCCTTTGACCAGAATTGGCAACTTTGTAATAGATCTTAACCATTCAATGTCCTAAAGTTTTACAGCGTAAAGATTATAAGGAATGACCTCACATTGTCATGGGAACTTTTTGTTTAGTGTTCAAGGACACAAATAGAACCAGTTCACAAGATTTTACCTTCCAATTTAACGAAGCATCAAATGCACGAGAAACGAAGGCTTCAACTCCTGAACCTTCACTCTAAGAAAAAGTTATCACGTTAACAACAGGTAAGGTTTTACTTTACATGAACCTTAATTCAAGCTCTACTTACAGGTCGGACTTTGGTTGAAAATAAACCTTCAAAGTTCCTAGGCTTTGGGGATATCATTCTACAGTAAGAAGTTGAAAGATCATTTCACAAACTACTTTTTATTAGATAGACTAAGCAAAGTAGGGAAGCTTATTCCTCTGTAAAATAAAGTTCCAAAAATCTCGGAGTAATGGAAAATGTTACTTGTTCTTTATATCTGCTTCCCTTCTACCAAGTCTAGGAACATCAACAGTCAGAACTATGGCCTTGAATCCAGCTTTCTCGGCTCTTTTCACCATCTGAGCAGTTACATCGCGCCTCTTGTACACCTATGAAAGATATCATAACGATCTAAGAACCGAGGCCTAAAGCCTACATACACCAAGGAAGCAGCACACTTGAGAGAGAAAACAAAAGCAGCTAAAATCCAGACTTTTTGTATTTACATATATTTGAAGAAACCGAACAGCGTTACAACTGGAAGCAACCTCCTCAATGGTGCATGAAGCCATGTATGATACTATCTGTTTATACACAGAGCAAAAAACAACTTTATACCAAAACAGTGGAAAGCATGTATTTCAATAGACACTTTAATACCATGATAGTGTTACACGCGGCTGCAGCTTTTGCAGTGGCGGTTTCTCCTAACACAGAAGACAAATCAAATGAATTTCCAAATCAAACAATTACATATACCATTAATAGAAGTTATGAACATAAACTAAAGAGAGACCTTCTGGATGAGCCAACTGATGATTTCCTGTTGGAGCAATCATGATTGGAGTTGAAATCGGATAACCCAATATTTTGGTAGACATATCTATTTTGCTCACATCAACGAGAACTCGAGGCCGAGAACTGAACATCATCAAAGTAGCACACAAATAAAAGGTGGGGAGTCACAAGGTTATAACGTCACCCACTAACCAAAAGCATATAAAGAGTTACACGATTCTACGAAAAGCTTCCTCATTTTCCTTGAGAGTGTGTTGATCCTCTGCTCCTCCGCTATAGAAATCATAGTACATCTTCGGGAGAGCTTTTTTTGCCAGCTCTTGAAACTCATTCACGTTCACAATTTGATCCATATCTATCTACAATACTATCATCATATAAAAGTAAGGAAATCAACAATCAAATAACATTACTCTGACACTAGAGGAACATTGCTCCTCCATCAAAAATTAAGCAGAAATCATCAATCATACAAACATTGATTCGTCTATGTTAATAACTAAACTGTTTGAAAGTAGTAAGTTCAATCTTTAAATCACACGAAACACTCACATCTCTGATCTCTGAAGAATCACACATGCAGAAACCAAGATCTAAAAGTGAAGAGGCTAACGTTTTCAAGTCTCTAGTAAATGAAGCCGAAGAATAATCTACGCTTTCTTGACCAACCAAAAATAATGTCGGTGTGACAAAATTTACTCGCTCGTTAAATTGCTAAAAATATCAGTCACAGAGAAATATTTCGGCCCATGTTGGCTTTCATTAATCGGCCCAAACCGGTCCAAAACAAAATTCAGACCAATCATATGATTTGATTACAGATTTGGTTAGTTTAAGCGCATTTAATAACGTTTGACCATACAGTACAAGGTCAATCGCATGATGAAATGGCATGCTGAGTCAGCACCGTCCCCGTCGGAGACCGTCCACGGCGAGGGAATTTTCCAACGGAGAGCATTTATTATATCAACAAAAATACTCAGAAACCGAAGAGTCTCTTGCAAAGTTTTCCCCTTTATGAAATTGTGCCTATAAAAAGAGGCAAATTTCCACTGGGGACGCTTCAATTCTACTTTTGAGAGGATTTTGAGCGATGAATCACGGCGAAGCTAGGAACGACGGTAGCTATAGTGGTTCTCGGGGACATTCTCCGGCGTCTGGGCACAGAGGTTACCGTCGGAAAAGCGAAACTCCGGTAGTTATACTTGATTGTCGTTTCGTATTCTTGTTTCCGAGAATGTTTGTGTTCAGTTTTAGAAATCGGAATCCCTTTGACTGCTAATGTTATGGTTCGTAAGCAGATTTTTTCCTTTGTAGTCTACAGGTTATAGTTGATAAGTCTTTGAATGAACCTTCTGGTAATAGGAGTAGGGGATTTCAAGGGAGAGGAAGAGGTACAATATCATGCTACCCTAAAAATAGTTCCGGGTTTGGCAAATATGAACATAGTCCAGTGCAATCGTGGGTTGAGAAGCCATTACAAGTTTCCAATGTGGATTGTGTGGAAAAGAGAGGTCAAAAGCATGGAATAGGTTCTACTAAGCAACCTGATGAAGTTGCTGCTGCTTTGAAGAATTCTGGAGATAACAAGGATCTTATGAAATCATCTGCTTCGTCTAGTCCAAATAACAGAAATCGTAGTGGAGGTTCGTTTGTATCTAGAGGACGGGATGGCGCTGGAATGCGTTGTGGTCTTGTGAATCAAATGAAATATGTTTCGTTGTCTTGCAAGGACTCTGTGTCTACTACAAGTGATCAGAAGGTTGAGCATTCTAGTGTTGAAGATCATAATAGTGTTCACAAGTCTGTGGATGCTGGGAACTCTTCAAATGAAAGCAACGCAAGACTTTTTGATATCGTCCTCGAGAAGAAGGTGCTGAGATTAAAGCCCAACTTGTTGGAACTGAACAGAGAAAAGAAGAAAGCAAGTAAAGGGTACACTGGAATTGTCATTAGACCTGGAATGGTACATCTTAAGAACTACTTGTCAATCAATGATCAAGTAAGTACTCTCCCTATTTCCCGTTTTCTGCATGTGTTTGTGCATCTGTCTTATCTTAGATGCATCATTTATGCTTCTTTTGTTCTTGAATTTGCGTGTAGGTGATGATTGTGAACAAATGTCGTCAGCTGGGTTTGGGTGAAGGCGGCTTCTATCAACCAGGTTACCGGGATGGAGCGTTATTGCATTTGAAAATGATGTGCTTGGGGAAAAACTGGGACCCTGAAACATCTCGTTATGGAGAAACTCGTCCAGCTGATGGTTCTACTCCGCCAAAAATTCCTGTTGAATTCAGTCAGCTTGTTGAGAAATCAATCAAAGAATCACAGTCTCTAATTGCTACATCTTCAAAGAATACGAAGGGAGAAGATGAGATACCGTTTATGTCACCAGACATCTGTATTGCTAACTTCTACACAACCACAGGGAGACTTGGTCTCCATCAGGTTAGTGTTTCTAATTACAACTTCTGCATTTATTGAAGCGCAAAGGAAGTTGCAACATTACATTTTAATCCTTGGATGTTTCAGGACAAAGATGAGAGTAAAAATTCCATTCGGAAAGGATTACCTGTTGTTTCGTTTTCTATTGGAGATTCAGCAGAGTTCTTATATGGTGATCAGAGGGATGATGAGAATGCAGATGAGGTAGTGTTGGAGTCTGGAGATGTTCTAATATTTGGTGGAAAATCTCGAAATGTCTTTCATGGTGTGAGAGCAATTCATACAGATACTGCCCCCAAGGTTCTTGTCCAGGAAACAAGTCTACGACCAGGTCGTCTGAATTTGACCTTTAGGCAGTATTAGACCAAAGATAGGAACTTTGGTAATTTATCTAGAGCTATTTAGTAGTGTAGTAGGCCCTTTACATGTTTTTTGTGTGTTTTGGTAATCAAGATAAGAAAAACCTTTGCAGATTTAATATGAATTTGTTTTCGGTTATATCATAATGCCTTAAAAATATGATTAGTCTTTCGGTTTTCCTTTTTTCTCCGGATTAGCAGCAAGAAATCAATGATCTATTGCTTCTCAGCTCTTTGATCTTGTTTGTGTACCATTTCTGGTAACCCATTCTAGCTTTTCAACTTGGGTACGAATCGCGGTTAGATTTTGAGGATTTCTTGGCCTATGTCTTCAGCAAAAACAAAAAGAAGAAGACTGTTCTTGATTTGTCGAACCATTATGAGTGTTCATTAGATTCATTAGATTTTTGTTCTATTATATACAATAAATTAGCGCACACAAATGTGTATAGCTTAGGCTCTAGTTCGATGTGTTAAGTTATTGTCAGTCACGAGCTTGTTGATTTTCCATAGCTGATGCAGCTGAATCTACATAAAGCAGCAAACAGGAGTATATTTTCTTCTTCAATCGTTCTATGTTCTCTAACAAAGAATTATCACTAGAGTGATGATCACTTTTAACTTTGTCCAGCCATTCGTTTGCTTGCTTAAGCTGGGATAATGTCTCGGCAATATGATTATCAGGCTCCGCTTGTCGCGCTCCTTTGGGTTTTCCTTTCTTCTCTGTAACAGTAGCATGAAATCTAGTATCTATTGCTTCTTCCAAGAATTTCAAAAACCAGCTTCTTGTTTCTTCTTTCATAGTGTTTCTCAGTTCTTTTATCTCTTCTGTACCATTTCCCGTAACCCATTCTAACTTATCGGCTTCCGTTAGATTTTTTGAAGATTTTGAAGGCTTTGTTGTGGTTTTGCTTGAAGTTAGACTAGCCTTTTTGCTCAACTTTTCAGGCTCTGTCCATAATGAATGAACATTCACCAGCTGGAACGATTTATCCTTAGATGCAGCTGTGGCCTGTGCAGCTTGGTCAAGGACACTCTGGAGGTTGAAGAAGTTTCTGAGAGCGGAATGTGGATTCTTTGGTGAAGCCCTTGAGCTTAGGTCAGCAAACATACTGCAAAAACATTTTTTTCTTTACTTTAGGTACTTTCAAATTGAAGACTACGTCTTGTCAGGTGAACAGATTTGTATCCTGTTTTTCTCTCCTGACTACTTCCATGAGATATGAGCAGGTTTGGTATTCAGAGGTACAGTACAGTACTTGCCTGATACACTTGATAAGATGTGAAGCAGCCAATGCCTCTCTTTGGACTTCTGTGGCAATCAGAACAGCAATATTTCTTCTTCTCAGCATTCCCTTCGGACATTTAAGAATTGTCAGCGATGAGCTCATAGTGGAATGATTTGGAGAAACAAAAGGAGATATAGAGAGATCATAAAGAGGCGTACTTTACCCATTTTTGATAAATTAACAGGCAGAGAGGTCCATGATGCATCCTCAGAAGAACTACTCTTTCTGTTTATGTAATTCACAGTTGAGCTCAAAGAGAGTTTCTTTGGCTCTGCCTTTATTGGAGCTGTAGCAGGCCGAGATTGTGGAGGACCAGCTTGACGTCCCTGTGCACATATATGTTAATTACAGGTAAACCATAATCTATATGTTAATTTAAGGATCTTTAGACCTGTGTGACTCATCAGAAGAACACACACCTGATCTTTGTGCTCCCTTTGCTTTCCCTTAGCCAATCCACCAACTTTCTTATTCGCCGTCGATCCATTCTCACTCTCATTGTTGCTACTGCCGCTACTCGAATCTGATCCACTTGCCTTTGGATTTGAAATACCTTGCATATATCTTGAAGCCACTCCTGCCTTCTCTTCCTTGATTACAAAACCTTGATGTCTTCTTTGATTCTCTACCGCGTTTGATCTCGCGACAACATTCTGCTGAAGAATTTGTATTAGAGAACGAATCTCTTATAAAAAAGCAAAAAGCTCAAGAACCTGATGATACATACCTTCTTCTTGTCGTGGATTTCTTCTTGCAGAGTTGTTGTCTCACTAGGTACCAACATTTGCATCAAATCTTTGGGGTTTCCTACAAAAGGATGGCGACCAGAGATCGGTCTAACTCCCACCATTACAGGAACAGGTGTCCCAGCTTCAAGCTTATCAACGTAGAAGAATTGTCCCAATCCCAATTTGTTGTTCAAGATAAGATCATTGTCTTCATTCCTCAATGAGACATAAGTGGAATGAGAGGAATCCGAGACTTTGATGAAAAAGCCTTGGTTTGGCCAAAGCTCTGAGCCGGCTAAAGCAGGGACAATGCTGATGACCTGCAAGAGAACAGACCGATATTCTCCTCGAACCTTGATGTTTGTGTTCATTGTCTGGAGAAGCTTGATTAACACTCTAGGAGTAAGAGAAGCCATTTTCTTTGAATCTGAACAGTGTGGTGAGAATGAGTTTTTACAACAGAGACAATAAAGAAAAAGATTTCTTCTACTTTTTTTTTTTGGGTTGGATTCTTTGTTTCTTGAGAGATGGAGCATCTTGTCTAACTTTGCATGGCAGGTAAGTAACATGATCAAATTTCACTTGGCTTTGAAGTCAAGTGATCATGTTAGGCTCATGAGCACTTCTTGTCCCAATTTTTCTTCAACTTTTTTGAGTAAATGACTAATGTACCATTGGTGGATTATAGACGGATACAGGTTAGAGGAGGGGCTTTTTGGGGATTTTAATGGATTTATGTCAACTTTAATCTCACGTCACTTTACGAGGAAGATGAAGAAAGGTTTGAGAAGGTGAGTATATACCTTCTTTGTCCCACTTTTTGCGTGTTGATCACAAAATCAAGATAATAGAAAAATGTAAATGTTGTCTTTTATTAAACTATCGCATGTTACTTAGTATGTTACATTACAACAATACTTAATGCTAACATACACCATATCCATACGCCTTGTTAGCAACTTTATGTCTTTATTGATTTGAGATTGGTTGCATTTCACTAAATTATTGTTGATTACTTGGTTCTGCTTTTTTTTTTGAAAAAATTGTCTATCTAAAAAGGGTCAAAATGGTAAATGAACATTGCCTTGCTTTTATGGTTGTGCTACCAAAATCACATCGATATCAAAACGATAAGGACATGTTTCAGGTTCGATACAATTTACAACGTAGGCTCATCAAAACCGAAAGTAAACAGACGATGATAATGAAGGGAAGAGGAACTATTCTCAATGATACTATTGATACATTACATTGATCCGAAACAGAGCATATAATATCCTCAGATCATTCCACTTATATACTCGTGCTTGTTATGCCTGCGTCCTTGTGAATCTTTTTACCTTTCATTTGCTTGGATCCTGACTTCTTTTATGAATCTTGGTTTCGACTCATTTCCCTTTGCTTCGAAAATTGGACAGTGAAAAGAATGACCTTGGTGCTGCAATAAACACGAAGCTTAAGAGTGAGTAAAAAAGCATGTTGCAAAGAATCTCACTGAGTTTAAAGATCACGGCTTGGTTTTATACGTCTGTGAATTAGACAGTAAGATCTCGGTTTCAGGATTACAAACTTGTAAACTAGATACTTAGATTCTATGGTGCTTTGTGATGATGTACATATATATACTATCAACCTTTAGGTTCCATGGAGAGAGAAAAAAGATTAGGAGTTTTCGAGTGTAGAACACTTCGATTGATTACCTTTTACAGAAGTTCCTGACGTCTGATCCTCCTTCAGTTTAAAGCTCAATGGTATGCTAGTAGTTTGGGCTGAAATGAGGTACACAATACTAGATCAACCTCCACGACTAAGATCAAGATAAACGAGAAAATAAATCTAAGCCGTTCATAACTCTAGGACTGATATCTATATAGAGTCAAGGTTACCCATTTTGGATAGTGTGCGACTGTGTAGAGATCTTTAGTTGCTTCGTGTGAAGATCTTGCAATGAATTCTATGGGATTGAAAAGATTGTTACCTTGTTCATTAAATAGCTCACTCTCGTGGAAACTATCATCAGTGTGATGGCTCTGTAAGAATCCCATTCTCGACTTTCCCAAGTCTTCTGATGAACGATTTGCAAGATCCCGTCCATCTTCAGTATCATCATCCCCTTCAGAGGTTGTAGCAGATATCCAGTCAGCTAAATTCTCCGCTGCACGGTTTTTCCTCCCGAAATTCAAGAGCCTCTTCAACCCTTTTGCCACATCCTGTTGGCACTGATTCTGTGATGGATTACCAGCAGTGACGCGTTTCTGAGCAGCTCCCCATTTCTTTCTCATTTGAGCTGTATCGTTCTCTGTGTTGTTAAGGGAAGAGAAGTTCCAGAAAGCAGGACTACCCACTGGAGAGTCCACTAAAGCGTCTTCCAATGCCTCGTTAGGATATTGATGCTTTACTCGTGAATTCCATGGAACAGGGATTTCGCCTGGTGAATCCAGAAATGAACCGATGGTTTGATGCTCAGAAGTCATAGCAGCAGGTAATGCAGCATTTGAACCAGGGTCAAGCTGAGAAATAGATTCACCATTTGCAACCCCCGTACTTCCCCATTCTTCAAAATCCTGACTTAGTCTTGGTTTCTCGTTTTCTGCATCAGTAAAAGCTTCGACTTCCGTGTCATCGAGCACTTCTTCCATCCCCTCTTTCTCCATATCGTCTGACGCGTCAGATCCTTCTGAAGCCTTTAGCTGGTCATTATCAGAGCTGATACCCAGATTGTTAAAATTTCTCCCTCTTTGCTCTTGTTCAAGATTCAGAGGTACAGAATCACCATCCTCTGACTTTAGTTGAGAAAAGTTTGCCGACTCAGCAGCTTCAGCAGGACCTTTTCTGAAATTTGTCGGTCTTCGCAGCTTCTCTTCTTCGGTTACAGCCTTTGGGCGGACAGAGCTTCTCACCTGTGAGCGGACACCATTTTTTCCAACTCCTGAGGCTGGTTTCATGCCTTCCTTCTTGATCTCAGAGAAGTTAGGGACTGATTGTGCAATAAGTTTGTCTGATTGTCCTCTCCGCCTAACAGCACTGGGTGTAGAAACCTTGGCTGCCGAGCGTGAACCTGATGTAGGAGTGGTTCGAGCAGACAAAAAATTGTTTTTATTTTGTTGTAGCTTCTTATTCTGGGTGGTCCTGGAAGCATCCTCATCTTCTTCACTATGAAATGAGCTAATTGGATGCTGTCAAGTCATTACATTGTTAAAGTTATTAGAAAATCAAGGATAATATTTTCATGCACTCAATACTTTTGGCTACCACAGGTAAACTTTCAGAAGAAGAAAATGATATATACCTGATCCTTTTTAGCACTCAACTTAGAATTGAAATATGCAAGCTTCTCTGCACGTCGGGCAATTGAATCACGTCTTGCCGTAGACTGAGAAAATTTGGTTTTCATCTCAGCGTTACTACGATCAAGTATATCTTGCATCACCTTCAATTTGGCTTCCTTCTCGGTCCTTCTGGAACTCCAGTCTTCCTTCAGCTTCGCGTCTCTTTTCTGCATATATTTCTCATAGAACTTTCCTCTAGAATGATCCGAAAAGCTTATTTCTGGAAATTTTTGCCTCGTGGCATCTCCATAGTCATTGTTAATAACCATCTTCTTTATTGGTGGAGTTTTGAAGTTGTCTTCGTCGTTTGAGATTAAAGTTGGCATTGTCGAGGTCTTCTGGTCAGATATTTGTGCAGAAGGTACATCTTGTGCTACAGGTCTTCTGAGCTGCGAAGTCAGAGCCTGTTCACTCGGCTTTCCGGGCTTACCTCTACGGACAGAACTGGATTGATCCCCAGGCACACGGAGCATATGTTCAGCAAATAGCTTTTCAAGCTCGTTTGCTTTCACTTTCAGCTCGTCATTCAGCTCTTGACTTCCCTTAGACGGTCTTGCCCTATGAGCTTGCTCTGCCTGGGACACTTGGGTCATAGTATCGCTCTCGGACATATCTGAAACACTATTAATGGCTGCAGGTGGCTTTTTACTTACATCAGCAGAACCAATATCAGTCCTTCTGTGCGGCCTTTTCATCTGTTCAGAACCTAAAAGAAGATGGTGCAAGAAAACAATCAGAAGGTTGTTAAATATTCCCCCTTTGTCGAAGTCAAGATATTAAGAAAATATACAAGTCTAACAAAGAAAAGAAGAGAAGGACGTTATCACATTGAGAATTAGTCGTTCTCCTATTCTCAGACTCAATTGTTTAATAATAATAAAAAGAATACTTCTACGGCCATGATCATTTCAAGCATTAGAACACAGGTAAGCAAAGAAGAAACTGTTGACATAGATATATCTCAGTTAAGCGTACAAAAGACTGAGAAAGGCAGTGCATGATGGTTCTTTGATGATCCCATAATCATGTTGATGTCAATATTGGAGTAGAAGCATAAGAAACAGCTGAAATTATGAATTCCCACACATGAAGTATCTCAATATAAGAACATGCATATAAACGAAAGACCAACACATTTTCACTGTATCTTACATTACTGACCTCCATAAACGGGTGTCTTTCTCTGGCGGTCCTCAACTAGTGGTGATTGCCGATCCGAAGGCATTAGTTCTTTCCTAGGAGACTCTGCAGTTCCTCCATTGCTCCGAACACTTGCAATGTTAGATTCAGTACCACCTAACTGCTTTAATGTAGACAATGAATGACTTCGCGGATCCCTAAACTGTATTTGGTTCTGGCTGTTTGATTCAAAATCGCCCATTTTGTTGTCGGACTCATCATCTATTGCATTCCCTGAGTAATCCAAAGTGCTTCTGGAATTCTTTTCATAGAATGTATACTTGGAATATTTCTCCGAAGAACCATCCTGAGAATTTCCTTGATATCCTACTTGATTATCTGTACTCAGTGGAACCTTCAAGTCTACCTCCTTGTCTTTTCGTAAGAAAGTAGAACTTGAATTCTGAGGCTCGATTTCGTCCATTCCCCAACCACCAACATTATTGGAACTACATTCGTCTCCATTCCTTTGAGGATTCTCATAAGGACTCAATCCATTCTGCTCTTTACTGTAGCCGACACCTTGTTTCGAAGAAATACCACTTCCATCTTTCGACACTGATGATGACGAGGGAGTGCACAATGGACTATCACTGGTACCATCCTTCCTATCATTTCCCAGATCAATGCTCATGTCACTAGCACCACTCCATCTTCGTACCACAACCTTTTCCATGCCTGCAGAAGATGATAAATCAGAAGAGAGTCTTTTCAGCTCAGTGGATTTTCCCACAGCTGTTTTCTCTCCAGAGCTTTCTTTCTGCTTGTTTTCAAATAGGCTGATCCTCTCCTGCACACTAAGCCGTCTCGTGAGTTGCCTAGGCTGACTTGCTAATGGCTCATTTTGCTCAGGACTTTTTTCCTCTTCTTCTGCCTTTCCATCATGACTACTTTGTGGCTTAAGCTTTAATTCTTGTTGACAGTTGTTGGTTCCTGTTGCACTCTGCTCTTCCATACCAGTTTGATGTTCCCTATGTTGTTGGGTTCTGTTAGTCGCTAGGTTTCTAGATGGGTCTTCACTGGGATCATCAATTGACATATCAGATTCCCATGATGAACGCATAAGTTCTTCTTCCTGATTGAACTTCCAAGAGCTCATAAGCTCTGGCCTCCTCTGGCAAAGTGCAATAAACTTGGCGCATGCTTCACTGCAATAAGTATAGCAGACCAAGCATGATCAGAGTAAACATAATTGATAGTGAACTAAGTTGAAAGCCAAAGTATTTTTGGATCTCTATGAATTAGAAATGCCTATTCTAAAAAGTGAGATAATTCTACTGGTAACCCACTAAAAAGAAACTGAATTCTTGTCGTACTGTTGGGAATCATACTCATCCACCTAATAGCAGTTCTCAAGTCTCTATCAGACCAAACCTACCTAAACTAGAGCATAATGGGTTTCTGTTTATGGAAAAGGGTATGTACCAAGGCCATGTAAACATGAAACATATAGGCGACTATATAAACATGTGATTAAGGTGATCATACATTAAACAGGTGTTATAAACCACCTTTTAGTATCACGACAGTCAAAATTTAAAAGATGGATCACTGGCAGAGGGTAATAAACCTAGAAACCTTGGTTACCTAGCTAGAATATGCAAACTAGTAAAGGTGTAAAATTTTATAGCTGCAACTATGAAAAGCTAGAACTCAAATACAGCACCCAGCACCTTCTTAGTTTAAACCCAGATAAATTAGACAAGGCCATGTAATTGAAGATGTCCTGTCTTCTAGTGTGTCAGAAGGGCTCCAAATAATTGCTCACAAACAAGCCAGAACGACAGGAAAGACTGGGTAAATAGTATAGAGGATATGGAGTAAGGGGTAAATCTTAATACTTACTTCAAGCGGTTGGCCCCAAATCGATCAGCAAACTGGCTAAGTTCGGAGACAGTGATAGGGTTGAAACCAGCAGCCGATGCACGATTACACGCAGTTGCTAAGTCCTGTCTAACTGCTGTAAGCCTTAAATCAATAGCTCTCAGTAGCTCTTTCCTGGAAAGTCAAAAAAAACAGAAAAGGTTCAGCATTACACAGTTTAAGAGTCCATAACACATATTTGTAATCAAACAACTTAGCACGATTAAGCAGAATACAGATTAGTAGATAATTTGGCCAAATATTCATATAGGTGAAAGGTAAATATCATGAAAGGTTGGGAATTTACTTTGTCCCATCAGCTGCTGGAGTAGTTTCTCTGCCATCTGAACCAAGAAAGGTTTAGCCAAATTATGCCAAAGCGAGAAAGAGACGACTAGCTGTGACTAAATATAACCAGTGTGTATTAATAGAAAACGATATAATGACTTCAGATTCTAAGTGCCATTCCGCCATTCATAAGCTACCGTGTTGATATATTTTTCTCATGTTTGGGAGTAAGATATCTAATGGTAGCTCATTGATTTTGGAGGTGTACATTTTGTGAACTCAGCCAATATAAGAGTCTAACCAGGAGGGGCACAAGGATAGTCTATACAATATCTTTTTTAGCATCCATGAATGACTTACCAGCATCATAATTCACTTCACAACTTTTATCCATTAACCGTCACTGTAACAGACCCCTTAGAGCCAATGCACAATTTCTCATGAACGGTATATGTAACAAAAAATACAATTAGAAGACGAGTTAACCGTATCCATACCTTTTGCATTAGATCGCTGATCACCACCACTCCCCTAAATTAAGATATTATCAAAATCAATAAAAGCACTCCAATTAACACAGCATTTGATTACTTAGACTTTAAAGAGGTGGATTACCTCGCCATATATTTTCCGGGCAGCCTCCAACTGAGACATTTCCACATCCAATGCGCTTACCAATTCCAGAACCTCTGGGGTACTAACAAAGCGTACAAACCTAGAAAACCAGCAGGCACAAGAAATTCCGAGTGTTAGCATGACCTCTGCTCCACTAAGACTCGAATATCTCTCGCTCAAAAAACTGAATACAACAACCTCTCGAGTGTCCCTTTTGTAAACCAAGTTCCAGCATTTTTGTCGCTTTCAACTTCTAGCCTGATAGACTGAACTTCCCGGGCGACCTGTTCTTCCGCAACTTTCAAATGAGCAACAAAAGGTTTCAAGAGCCCAGAAGCGAGTTTCTCAGTATTCCCCGCAGTAGATACAAACAATTCACATCTGCCAGAAAGAAAAAACCATAGAAGGCATCTCAAAAACCAACTATCACCAACAGTCTAACGACGAAAAGAAGAATCACACTCTCGAATATCATTACCTTGACCGCTTTGGGGAGAGTTGGAAGACAGCATAGTCAAGAGGTATAGCTGGTCTCATCTTCTCCCCCTTTGCACAAAATCCCTCAAGTCTTTTTCCCCTTCACAAGATCCTAAGTAAAGAGCAAAACAAAGTTCATCTCTAGAAAACGTAAATGCTATATGAATTTGAAGCGGCACAAAGAAACATCAAAGAGAAACGGATCTACATTAGAAATTCAAAGTATCAGTAAAAGCAATTAACCAAACGAATTGAAACCCCCAAAGTTGGCAAAATACAGAATCAAACGCATTGCTAGATCTGATTCCGATCATCGAAATTTCAAAATCCAATCAATGGCGAATCCAGGAAGACCCAGAAAATCGAATTCAAATTCAGGGCAAAAGTAACAAAACGCCCATTGTGATCATAAAGACTCTGGAAAATTCAAGTGAAGTACTACTCGGATCGGTCATAGTAGAACTTACCTGGAAATGAGATCTTCAATGAATCTGTCTCTTTCCGATTCACATTCGTCGAATAGGTACTATCATTTGTCAAGTCTCTTTCTCTGTTGTCTATGTTCAATAAATTCAACGATTTATTCTTCTCAAAGCTTCTTAAAAACCCTAACAATGGCGATTTTTTTCCTTTTCTTTTGCTTCACTCGAAACTCAAGTCAACTTGTTATAATATTTCTACTTCATCCTTGGGTGATGCTGGATTCGATTTCTCGCCTTCATTGTCTCTTCTTCCGCCGTAATCTCTCTTTGTCAAATCTACTTTTAGAGAGAGAAAGTGAAAATCAAGAGAGAGAAAACGTTCTTCAGACAGAAATCACCATTTTTGTTGACGTGAAGTAGCGTATACGTG